AAATCAATACGAACCAATAAATAATAGTGGGTACACACCAAGTTCTAATGGAGCACGTAATTATTATAATGGCAACAGTGCACCTATATCAAAAGTTAGTGATGATGATAGAAATTCCTATGCTCCATACAAAGGATATTATCAAAATAACGATAATGTCAAATCTCATGATGATAACGTATTTCGACCTCCACAACGTAAATATTCATTATCACCTTCATTATCTTCTGTAGGTTCAAATACATCAAATAATATTCCTTCAAGATATCAACAAGATGACAAAAGATCTAATAATTATTTATAAAATAATCAGACAAATAAATAACATTTTTATTTTTAAATTTATAGTTTAATAAATAATTCATCTTTGTAATTTTTTTTTTTTTAAAGTTGCTTTTTCTTTAATAATTTCTTTTTTTATTTTGCTTCATTTTTCTTTTTGTAATATAGGTAATTATGTATTTTTATTATTTGCCTATTAGTATCTAATTTATATATAATGTACTTTAATAATAAATTGTTATTTTTGATATGTGGTCGTTTATTAATGTTAGTATTACTGTATTGTCGCGTTAATAACGCTCACTAGAAAATTGTCATGATTCAATAACGCGTACTCACATATTGTCATAAAAAAATTATTATTTTAATTTGTGTTCACCAGATCGAATTTTATAAATTTTGTTGGTTTATTATTATAATGTAGAGACCCAATAAAAACCGTTTATAACCAAAAATTTTTTTGTCTCTTTGATATCTTTGATTATGATATCAAAGCCACAGTATCAACAGATTTTGAAAATTTTAACAAAATTTTCTGGAATTTTTTTGTATGTATTAAAAAATAAAATCTTGATTTGGGTACTGTACATAAGTTATAAGTATCTTAGAATAAGAATCTTGAATATCTTATAAAGAAAATAAAGACAATAAAAGAAAATACTAAGAAATTAATTGCTAATAAAATATAAAAATATTTTTACATTGTAAATGTGATCAAAATTATCGATGAAATTATCTTTTAGAGAAAATGTATTTTATTTTATTAAAGCAGTAAGTTTCTAAACTTGAAGATGTGAATGTCAAAAGTTTTTAGGAATAAGAATGTCATAGTTAGAACGTAGCAAAATTAAAGCATAATATTGAAAAATCAAGCAAAGCAGAAACTACAGTATTAAAATCTTTGTTTCAATCAGAAAATAAGTCAAGAAAAGCATCAGAGTAAAAAGAGTAAAAGAAAACTACTGATTCTAAAGTGTTGGTTTTTAATTCTTGTTTATATTTAAGCCTAAATATAATATGAATTATTAAAAATCTGTATATTTGAAAATAAAAATGAGATAAAGTATGTAATTAAGAAGCTATCTCTCTTTATTTCTCACGATTATACATACTTTATGAAATATATAAAGTATGATAAAACTGATAGAATTCTTAATATAAATTGTTTATATTTCTTACAGTTTACTCTGGATATAACAAATCTAATTTATAACTCTTGTTTTTTAAAAAAAATCATTATAGAGTTCAGTATAGAAATATAATAAATTACTCTAAGGAACTTGTGAAAATTTTTATTCTAAGAACCATAAATTCGTTTTAAAGAGAGTCACTTATACATTAGGGTTTAAATATGATCTCATTGTCTTAAACTACGAACTATAGTCTCAACTCATAATTTATAGTTTGAACCAAAATCCGTAGGTCTCAAACCCTATTTATAATCATTGTACAATATATAGTATCTTATTATTACATAATAATAATAATAACTATAACAATAATATCAATCATGTCTTGATAAACTTTAAATTCTATATACTGCAATCAATCTCTAAAAAATATACTATACTAGATAATTTAACACAGATTCAATATTTCTTTTTTTTTTTTTTATTGTTTAAGGCGGCTTACATTGCCGACGGGATTTTATTAGTATTTGCATACAGAATTATACA